CCAATTACTAGCCACCTGGGAGTCGGCACTCGACGCGCTGTCAAAGGACGAAAGGGCCACCCTCCCAGTAAAGTCCGGAAGGCTGGGGAACCCCCGGAGTGCCTCCTCCACCCTAACTACCCTCGCCACTAAATCATCCCTCTGTACCTCGCCCACCTCCTTCCTGATCCCCCTAATCTCCTCCTCCACGCTAATGAGCCTTCCCGATAGCTCCCCTAGTCGCTCCTCCAAGCTACAAACTCTGCATACCTGGCATACCTCTCGTTGACTAGTCCCACCTACCCAATCCCCGCAACGAACGCATCTACACATCCTAGGCATCTTAATTACTTAATGTTATTGATCCTTATTGACACTCCCACTGCTTTAGACTTGTACTTTGCAGTACTTCACACTAGTTGTAACCAGGTAAGACTGTAATGTCCTAGTCCTTGTAGTAAAAGGAATACTACGAGTAATGTGCTAATACTTAAAGTAATTAAGCTGATTGTTACTGAAGTTGGAGGTAGCTATCAGAAAACTTATGAATACTGCTACAAAGTAGCCAGGTAACAACTAACTCACGACTTAGCTGACAGAACCTCGAGAGTATCCTCCAACACGTCCTCACGCTACGAACGCTCGACCAAGACTGCCTTATGAGACATGCCGAAAGCACCCAAGCCACAAACCCGATCCAGGTGATCTAGTTTCATTCTACTTGAGCTAGAATGAAAAGAAAATTTACCTAGCGATGGAAAACGATCAAATTCGGACATTCGGTGAATCTGGCTCACATAGATTAGATTTTGTAGTAAGGCATCCCAGTGTCCATCATCGGTATCCCAGTGTAAACAAGGGAGTAGTGGACCACCCGATTGAAGTGGTCCACTCCTGAGCCATTAAGAAGTAATGTTCCCCCTCAGAGCTAACAGAAATTCAGCAACATCTAGGATTCTTTGTGGTTACTATATTGTCTCTAAGTTTTCCAGAGCAAAACTTATGCAAAAGCATAGAGACACTATAGTAACCACAAATAATCCTAGATGTTGCTGAATTTCTGTTAGCCCTTGAGGGGAACATTACTTCTTAATGCTAATATAAGCGAAGATTACTAATTATACTTTTTCTGCATCTTATAGGAAGAAAAACATAGGTGTGGTCCACTACTAGCGGATGGTCCACTACTCCCCTGTTTACCCTATATCGAGTAGACGTCTGGGCTCCGTACAGTCCAGACAGAAAAAAATATAATCAATCCAATGATTAATGACTTTTGGGGTCCCCTGTACGCTGCCCAATGGTAACATTACAGTTCGACCAGCAGTATTTATCGCCATAGGTTCCATGAGATACGAACACATCATTTAGTCATTCAAGCATCATTTAATCACATCATTTAGTCATAGTCATTGGAGTCAAATGCTCTAAACGTTAATGGGTGAATATAACGGGGACGGGCGGTCTAGGAGAGAAGATGACTGTTTCTCAGGTTATTCCTGGATTTTAACGTACAAAATTGCTTAGTATATTTCTGAGACACGAGGAAATGGGGCTCGAAATCTTCTCTATTCTTTTCTTGAAAGTCTTCTCGTTTCTTATTGGCTTCGTGTCATACCTCCTCCTTCCTTAGAGAGTCCGACTAATAGCATTTAAGCGGCACAATATCGCTATAGCAACGCGGTAAATTTGCAGAATGATCTGCTAGTTTAGACCCAAGGTCATCCATACAGGCCTAGGGTTATTCGGGAGCAACATACTGTTCGCGAATAGCTTATACCAGCCTATACCTGAATAACCTGCCTTTAGGCAGTTCATACGAATCACATACACCGTATCTTCCACGAACGACGGCAGGTGTGTCACATGTGGGAAGTATACGCGTCGAATCCGACGAGCAGCCTATTCAAGATCGAGACGAGACGAGAGATGGAGTCCCCGGCCTTCACCGTCTGTCCCCGACCCGGAGTCTCGGACTCACACCTCGCGAGCATGGGCCTCCACATCGGGAACCTCGACTCCAAAAACGCGAAATACATCCAGAGAGATGCGAGGAAGACGGTGTACGACGTGTTCCGCGAAACCCGGGTGCGAATCCAAGACATTTGGCTCAATTCCGTGGCGAGAGGGAGAAGCGACGACAACAACGCTAACTGCAACGTCGTCTACGCCGTTTCTTACGATCGCCACGGGCGGGAGATTCTTCACACTCCTTGTATGTCGTGTCTTTCCCTCCTATTCCGAAGGCTAACGGCTTCGTATTGTTTGGGAACCCAGAATATAATACCTGTAGGATGTTATTTTTAATTTTTAATCTCGTCTTCGAGAACTTGGTCCTATAATTGCAGTCCTGAATCATAAAGGACTCTAGTGCAATCTATTTAATTTTTTTCCCCCTTTCAAGCATGCATTTTTTTAGGCGTTCCAACTTTCGAGAAACCATTAAGTTAAAAATGATTGAATGGAATAATGGAATTGTCTCTGGAGACGAGTCTCACCAAAAACATTTTAAAACCTATACTGTCCAAGATATATCATTTGCCAACCAGGATGAGATAAGTGTTAATCTCGCATAGAATTCTCCCGGTACGTTGGAATCGGGAAAGGATAAAGAATAATTTCGATTTCGATGATGTGGTCCGTGACTTCATCAAAAAGGAGTCGTGTTTCCATCCCGCACGTTCCCTCAAATGCTCACAAATACTTATTTTACGTTCCTCATTTTTTCGTCATACATTCTTGAGCTTACTTCGAAATTCACAGGTACTGTCCCATAAGCACGGAACTCCTGACTTGAACCGGCATCTCTGTTATACGAGGCGAAATCATTCATGAATCATGAGTTCCTTTTTGAGTTGCTCAGAAGTGGAACGGCTGAGGAAGGCCATCCTCACCGGCCTTTTTGCTCGGATGATTCTTCAAACTTCTTATGCCTAGGCTGATCGAGTTATTTTGAGTCCTCGCGACGAGGCCTCATGCCATCTTCATTTTCCTGTGGAGAATCAGTCGTTTTGCATGTCGATGCGTTCTGTAGCCATCTTTCACCGTGATGTTACTTCTTCAATATCGGTTATATCATTTCTCGGGTAAAGCGCATTTCCATCTGAATTTGTGGCCAAGGCCAAACTAAAACCCATCATATCCATCACAGAACAAACCAAAGGCAGAAAATGAATGATAAACGTCTCATTTCTAGGCGGGAGATGGGAGGAGACGTTGTTCTCATCGAGGATATTTTGCATGTTGGAGTTTTGCTGGTGCTATACCCTCTATCCAAACATCACCATGAGGATGGGTGCCGATTCCGGAGTGATTTCTCTGTCCTTCAACACGACTATCCTGATGAATAGATTGGAGTCTCTGGAGGAAGTGAACGTGTTCGTGGACGACCCGAGGTTGGCTGGGACTGATCTCAGGTTCCTCACGTTGGGGAAACGCATCACGCTGCACGGTGGCAGTTCGGTTTTCCTCCACGCCTCTTTGAGGGAAATGCATCTCCTGGACAAGACCAAAGAACCGTGCGACGATCGACCATCATATAGCCAAGTCAAGGTGGGCTGATAGATCGATGTCGCGGTGGCCTTCAGGTACCTTTTGATCGCTCGTCGTACGTTTCTCTGCAGTATACGGTCGCAATAGTCGACTGAGAAGTGGCTTTTCAAGTCACAGTTGATAACATTTTTCAAGGCCATTACGTCGTTTACGCTTTTGCGTTGTATGTATGCGTTTTGATAGGTTCTGAATATGTGAGAAAGAATGAGGAATGTCGTACTTTTATGTGCAGTGTGTATCTGCTTGTCTGGATGGGTTATTAATGGAGAGAGTGAAATGCGTGATCCCGGACATGATGTACGGCGGGAAAGCGACCGGCGAAGGGAAGCCCAAATGCAATTCCTCTGAGGAAGTGGGGGAATTCATGGGAAGAGTTGCTCGATTCCGCGCGGAAGCCGAAAGCGAACTTCGCAACTGCTCCTGCCCCCAGCCGTGTCTCCTCAGAGAATATCATCTCAGCCAAGTTCCTGGTTCCATTTCTCGCCTCACCTCGGATCCTCACCGAATTTTCCTTGACATCCAATTCCCCACCACCAAGGTATGCCTGTTTGGAAATCCTTCCTCTAGCGACTCGACGTGACTCGATCTCTATTCGCTGGCAGGTGGAGACGTTCAAGGAGCAGCCAGCGACGTCTTTGGTCGAGATCCTGTCGGAAATCGGGGGATGCGTCGGGGTCTGCCTCGGCCTATCCATTCTCACAGTATATGAGATCCTGGAAGTCTCATTCTTCTTTCTTTGTTCTCGGGTCAAAGGCTTCTAATTAGCGTCTCATATGAAAATGATACTGAATTCCTGGCATCCGCATCTAAGTGAGGTTATACTCCTCCATCACGATCGATCCTTCATAACACTGTAGGAACAATGATGCCCCAATTAAGAAAAAATGGAACACAATTTGGAGAAATTCTATGAGCTTGTAAAACTGAAATTCAAGGGATGTATATAGGTATCGAGGAAAAAAGTATTCCACCTTTGCTATGGGGGAATACCTTTCACATATGCTGTGCGTTTTCTTTGTAAATGACAGTAAAATAAAATATTAATCAAGATTCCGGCGCACTTCTATTAACTAACCACGAATGCAGGTATGACTCCACCCAATCATGTCTTATTGAAGACGACAAAGTCGAAGAGAAAGAAATTCGCAAATGTTATGGAAATATCAAGTCAAACTGAAAGTTCTTCCTTCTGCTTTCGCTCGCCTGCCAATAGCCTTCCTTGGAATCTTTGGAGCATCGGGCATGGAAGGAGGTTTGGGGACGGCAGCAAAACTTAGGCAGCCGTAACAGGCAAGACATCAGACAGAGAAATATCAGGCGTAGGACCAAGGTAGGACTTGGAACGAAGGCTACTTCTATAACATTGCCATAACATTGCCGTAACATTTCAATAACATAACTGATCTTTTTTTTAGGATTAAAGGGAGGAGTAGATGTGATAAAAACTAGTCATTTTGCAGCAATTACTAAATTCTCTTTGGCCTGAGTGCGGACGCTATAAATTGAGTCCTTTATATATTTCACTCCGCGCAACGTAAATTTTATTTAGTAACATGAGGTCCCTCAAAAACTTTGTACTGACTGCGCAAAATGTTGACTCTTTTGGGGGATTTTTAGCATAGAGTAGAGATTGTATCTACCAGTAGATTCGTCACTCCGAAGGATAGGGGAGGGTCGAAATATTACAAAGACATCTGGTGGCTTGCTATCAGCAACATTTTCATGTGGCGTGCTTCGTGGCAGCGGAATCGGGAAACGACTCTTTCGGGGATTCGCCCCAAAGGGATCCCTCAACGTAACACGCGTGTCTTGTTGAGTCCGCTGCTGGGCCCTGGAAGAGTTGTTGATGTGCGCCCTCTAGGTGGAAGATCGACATCGACATCTATTTTGCAACCCTGTCAATGAATGGGATTCGAGAGGAGTGTCGTCTCTAGTTACACTTTCTACTCTATGGTCTGTTATTGTGAATCGGCCGAATCTGCACTAAATAAAGTGCCGTGGAGGGTTCTAATTTTGAAACGTCATCTAGTCTATGACCATCCCCTGACCAAATGAGGAAGCCATGCAAAGTTTGGGTTGACTGTGAAAAGAGGTGTGGCCGAGCATAAAGGACAAACAGACAAACACACACACAAACACTCTAAAATGTAATAGCATAGATTCAATTTCTTGCTTGAGTCCGAGAGTCGACTATAGGCTGGGAGCAACTATAGCAGACACATCCAGACACAGGTCTCTGTAGCGTTATAACAGTCCTCTCCTACGCCATGACAATATCAATAGACAGCAATAATTGAAAGCATATCATTGGTGATGACACTCTCCCACAAGAAAAAAATATCAGAAAAAGTGTCGGGTTCAAACTGGGAATATTACTGCCGCAGCTACCACGACCATTCCTTTCCTCATTCAATCGAGTCAAGATTAGAAACTTCATAGCAGCTGTGTTGGCTCCTAAGGAGTCCATGGCTGGTTGGTCCTGCTGGAGCTCGCTACTTCGTCCCCTAGAATATGAGAGAACGGCTGCTTCGACGAAACAAATACAGCAAATTGTCCAGTGACCTCAGTACTTGAAGATGATGAGTCGCGGCAGAATTTCATGGGGTGTTCCTCTGACCGAGGCTTAGGAAAACTCTCATGCTCTCTTTCAACTTATCAATTTTTTTTCAGAGGGTACTGAACTTTTTTCGTTTTTGTTGATCTGGCGAGTGAGCGGTTGTTGAGATTTGCATCCGGAATTTGCATCGACTTGTCATAGCGACCATGTCATTAATCCAAGGATGGAGGTCACGGTGTACAGTTATTTGCTCGAACGAACTGTGCATTCTGAATATATTTAAAAAAATATATGCGTAGTAGAAGATGCAGATTGTTATATGAATGGTGTCAGCAACTGGCATATAATCTCGAGGCCTGCAGAAGTCAAACAGAAACTTACATCTCTCATAAGGCCTAGACGAGATCATTCATTGCCCCAGAAGTACAGGTAAGACCAAGTCACAGGCCAATTAAGCCAATGGTGGCCCTATCTTGAGTTTCTCCCACCATCTCGACTCAGATGTCTGCGGACAGACTGCCTCCGAAATTCAATGAACGTTGGACGCGATCTTCAGATTGAATGTCCATGTCTACGATGCCCCACATTCATTGGTCATCACTAACCATTCTGTCGATCTTTCCTCCTCCCATCAACTCAAACAAAAAATGTATCAAAATGGGAAGTGGAGGAATATCTAACGGCTGGTAAATAATGGAATGTAACCGCTTGAACACCCAATTCGGAATACCCGTGACAGCCAGGCTCTCGTGCCGCTATGTGAGCTTGATAGGTACGTGTGGACTCCTATCGTGAAAGTTTTCCTTATATCAGCAAGTTTCAGAGATAAACGAGATTTTCACTCTTACCTCAAGTGATGTAAGAACTGTTCGGCATGCGCTGCTTACGTTGGCATTCTATAGGATCTCACTGATTCCACCTAATTCGCGTGGAAAAAGTGATCCGATCCGTATTCGAAGTGATCCGATCCGCCATGTTTGTTCTCTCACTAGTCCTTTAGAGCCTGCTTCTTGAATTTCAGTGCTGGGAATAAACCCGAACGGGCGAAGGGAAAGTGAGGAAGGTGAGGTGAAGGGGGCGAGGGGAAAATCCATTGTTTGGATTTCCACCGCATCATTTATCAGTTTCCAGCATGAATTGTCCTCGTGGATTCTCCTCCAGCTCCTCAAGTGTCTCTCGAAATGATTTCACTGCTGTATAAATTAAACCTTGTAAGTGAGAAGTGTTCCCTGAAGTTGATATGAAAGCAGTGTTGGAAGAGAAAGAAATCAAAAGAAAGAAAAAGGAGAGAATGTAATTTAAAAAAAAGAATGCTGCCGTTCGCCGCGAAGAAATCTTCCCATCAAAATTTAAAACGAGTTGGCGAGATATTCCAAAGGAGAAAACGTCTTGCACGGCCGATGAGAAAAATTTCTGCATTATTCTGCGATGAGTAATGCACCGAGCTACTAGTTTCCAACACTTCCAAGGGACATATGTGTGATTTCTCCTGATAACAGCATTTGGTGCGCTGTTCGTATTGCCGCTTCACGGTGTTTGGAATTACCACACCTGCAAAGGTAAACCTGAAAGAAAATACTTTTTGGCCAACGTAGCTTTTGAAGTACATGGTATCTGCCAACGATTTCGCCTGGGATTCTCAAACTGCAACTCTACGAGAAACAGAAAGCGATTCAAAGTTCCGCTCGAGGAGCTATTCCTGGCACACAAAGGAAATTATCCCAAGGCATTCGGTACCACCTCACTGTCCTGATTATAAACAGAAGATTAAGGCCCAGGACATGAAAGCAAAAGCATTCGTCGAACCGACATAACTCCATTATAATACTCGACGACGGTGATAGAAGGATTCAGCTTACCGGATTCAGCCGGCGGAAAGCGGCAGTATAATTTCATATTTCAGTTGATAGGTGCAGTGCTGACATCTGAAAGGGCACTTATAGTTTCCTCCCCTTTATTTCCCCCTCCCCCAAAGTAGAGTTACAACATGGAGGCGATAAAAAAAAGCACACCGAGATGAAAATCTCACCAACAAAAAATGAGATGCGTTTTCTCCGCCTCCCGTGGGAGATGGAGCTTCAAATTTTCTAGAGTGAGTCTACGTTGCGAGGGTAAGAAGCATGCCCGATTCGTTCCTCCAGATTTTCTCAGAGAGGAATAAGAGGAGGATGATTTTTTTTTATAGGATGGAGTAGCAGAAGGGAATAGGCAGTTCCAAGCTTTTTTATGCTCAATGTTTCCACGACTTGACAGGATATAACGACATATTTCAAGAAGAAAAGAGTCGATCGTTAAGTGCGATGGCTCGAAAAAGCAAAACGAGATCGGCTGAGACGATCTGGATCTCACAGGCAGCCCTTTTCTTGCTCTTAATCAAACCTTTTTGTGGGGCAAAGGGTGCACGATGAGACCGTGTTTAAATTTAAAACGCGCTCGATCGTTCCTGTCCCTGCACGGCGACTCGAGATGCCAGTGGCCTGAGACGTCGTGGGTGGAATTATTCTTGATTCTACGTGTGGTTCCTGTGACACGAAGCATTCGAATAAATTAAGGAACAATTTCGGTGCAGACATGCATAGAAAATCTCCAAAAAAGAACTGCAAACTGTATTGGGATTCAGGATGAGAAAAATATATTAAAAAGCTATAGTTAAAAAGATAGCAATGAGTAATAAACTCCCCAGGTGCGATATTCCACGAAACTTCCACACGAGCAATGGTGACTGATATTTAAGGAGAGAAGCAGCGGAAATGGAATAAAAATTCGAATCGACTGCCACATTTTCCATCAGACCCGTATGTGACTCGCTACTTTCTCGCTCTGGAAGCGGTTTACTCGAAATTTGAACGATCGTTGAAAAGATATGAGGTCGTGACAAGATAGGCAATGAAAGCGATAGCATCTGCACGATGAGGGTCCTAGACGAGGCGTTCCATCATGGCTCATAGAAGTGGGAAACTTCTTGGGGCTTCGGCAATATGAAAAATCCTTTCTGTGGCATCCAGACCGTGATGTGATTTGATGCGTTTTGTATCCTTAAATGCTTTTAGATTTAGGTTTCAATGCCTACATCATGCATGCAGCTTCCTACCTGAAGTGGGGGAAGATTGGGTTTTTCCCTGATAACCTGAAACTGCTCGAACGAAACTCGTTCTTCTCAGACCTGCACTTTTTCTCTCTAATGACAGAAGGGATGATGATTTG